TTATTCTGATATAAGATTAAGTACATTAATGTTCTCAGTTGCTATACCTCATCATAGATAATCATTTTTCTTATACTCAACATTGTGTTTCCTAGTTATATATTATGTGTATTCATTCATAAAATTATGTACATTATACATTTGCACCCCTGTAAAATTCTCAATCCCAATCTATTGCCTGTTTGGTGTTAATATTAGTGTTACATATTCCTTAGATTTGTATTATGTGTATTGTGTTATTACAGAAATGTCAACCACTACAACCACTAATCCCCGGAGATCTCCAAGAAATAAGAATGTTGCACCTACGTCAACACCTCCAACCACATCTGATCCTACACTACGAGAAATTGCCAGAGAGGGTAAACGAAAGAAAAAATACCGCTACTGCATCAAAAGGTGCTGAATCATGTTCTGAACCATCAAATGTTGAAATCAGAACAGGTACCAATAATGCCCCCAAACAGCCTACTGCCAAAAAACAAAAGACAACCCACACCAGTATAGCTGCTGAACCTGAGAAAGCCCCAAAGAGGATAAGAAAAGAGGAAAAACAGAAGAAGAAAAAACCAAAACACAGTGATTATTTATCTGTACGGACCTCCCCAAAGCAGCTCTGTGCACTTGTCAGTAGTTTGAGCCCCGAACAGCACCAAGTTGTTCGAGATATGGGATTTGGATCCCTTTTAAGTGCAACACTATCTTCATGTGATGGTGAACTTCTGAGATACCTTCTTGATCGCTTTGATGTTGGTAGATGCTCGATACATATGGAAGAGGAAGAGCTCCTTCTAGGAGATGATGATGTACATTCAACACTTGGTATCCCCAGAGGCCAACAGACTGTTATAGAGGCTGAAGTAACGAGCAAAGACCCACAGTACACTCGCTTGGTTACACTTTGGAGACAGCGGTGGGGTGTGAAGATAAGCACACCAACAACAAGCCAGATGCTGAATGGCATCATTGAGAGGCGTGATCATGGCGACATGTTCAAACGTGACTTCATAATCTATGTTGTTTCCACATTGATAAGAGGTTTCAAGAACATGTTTTGTAACTACATGCTCCTGTATTCACTGCAAGATGTCAACAAAATCCAAGACTTCAACTGGTGTGCTTACACAATACGATCTCTTGTTGACACCACCACAACATGGAGAATCAAGCGTGATGCAGCCTTCACTGGACCTGCAACTTTCCTGATGGTATGCACTTTGTATATTGTCCTACAACTTTATGTGTATTCATGATATACATTATGTACATTATAGATTATAATTATGTACATCTTTTAATAAAGTTATGTGTATTCTACTGTGTCATCCTGAACATTAACTGATATTAATTTTGAATGGTTTATCTTTTTTTTTATTTTTTTTTATTTTTTTTTTAATTTTTTCTCTATTTGAAGCTGGCATACCTAGACAAGGTGCAGGTTAGAGGAGAGATAGTCAGAAAGAGAATTCCCACCATCACTTCATGGACTTCAAGCGATTTGAGATCAAGGGTCAAGGTTGAAAGAAACATAGGCGGCTTTGGAAGGGGGAAAGTTGTTGAATATATCCCAGTTGCACATCAGCCACCACCTCATGAACTGCCACCACCACATGAACTGCCACAAGGTCAAGAAGTTGAAAAGGTCACCAAAGCATTGAGAAAAATGACCACGAGCATTATGGAGTTCGGTGAGGTCATGGCAGGGGTTGGGGCAAACACCTCTGTCGTTGACATTATAAAGAATGTGTTCAGGGACTTATCCACCAATGCCAACCTCACACCAAGCCCGAATCCGACCCCACCAGAGAACTTGCTACGAGATGACGATATATACAACCAGCCCAGTTTCTTGGATGCAGTTGTTGAACTTGAAGCGGCATTCCTGGCTACATTGAAGAACATGTCAACTGCTGACATACCTGCACCAACATTTCATCTCCTAACGCCAACTGGCCGTGATGCTACTCCTGAAGAAGCCCCAACAAATGCAACTCCACCTGAAACAACACCACCTCCACACGAACCCACATCTGAACCGCAAGCAGCAACACTATCAGCATCACCCACCACACCACCACCACAAACAATGGAAGGAAATACAACACCAGTTACCCCAATTGCAACACTCTTGGAGCAGTTGGTTGATGACATGGCTGATGGTTCAACCCAATCACTACCAGCCCCGGAACAGCAAACTCCAGGACAAATTGAGTTTGATAGGTAAAACTCACTTATCACTTAATAGTATCCTTATGTGTGTTTAATATAGTAATTATGAACATTTATGGTCCAGTTTAATATCTCATCAATCATAAACCAAATGTGATTATGTATATTGTTTTTATATTTTATGTGTATTCTACTATAATATTATGTACATTTTTATACTTATTAATTATTTAATCATGATATTATGCCTACTGCTTAAAAGTTAAAACATGTTACTAATTAATTTTCTATCTCTACAAAGCATCATGGCTGAATCTGAAGATGATGTTGAAGATGTCAATGTCCGAAAAAGGCCACAGCGAAAATTCAAGAACCTCCTTCTAGCCTGTCGATCCCCGTACTGGACAAGCAACATTTCAAAGCTCAAGAATGTTTCAGCCAGGGAAAAACTGATCTCGGACTATGCGTTCCTGCTACCAGATGAAACAGACTACCCTTCTTAGTATGTATTTCTTCTATAACTTGTTATAATAAATGCTTTCAGTTGCTATACCTCATCATAAATAACAGCTATTCTTAAACACAAAATTATGTGTATCCTAGTTATACGTTATGTGTATTACTTCATAACATTATGTACATTATACATTTACATTATGGGAAACAGTAGATTACTTTAAATTGTGAAATGTTTATTTTGTAATATCAACTTGTTTTGTTTATTTCCAGTGAAGTGTTGTTTTCTGCCCATGATCTGTTTGCAACGAGAGAGGACATTGCAACACTGGCAAGTGGGCAACTAGCTACCAATATCCTGCAGATTTGGGCACACAGATTGACCGTGCTTGATATGAAAAGAGCAATTGATCAACCAAAGAGGATCTTCTTCTCAGAAGCTGCTTACTTAAGTACACGTCTAGAACTAAGCATTTTTTTTAAACAATGTACTATATGACACCCAACCTCTTCTTTACAGATGACGCTTGAAAAGGTTGAAATAAAAGCTAGGAATATGAATGTTGGTGACTTCTGTACAAATATTGACTACCAGTTGAGGGGGACTGCTATTGATATAACAGATGCAAGTCTTGTAAGTAAAATATATATATATGTATATATATATATATATATATATATATATATATATATATATATATATATATATATATATATATATATATACCTGATTATATGAATTCTAAGATTATTGAATTTACGTCTGTATTTGACACAGTTTGTTAAATCCCTTTTGATTATTCATTTCAGGTTTTCTTTATAATCTTGAGGCACAATCACTACTACTTAATGTGCTTTAACATCCCCAAGTCAAAACTTCAGATCATTGACAACAAGCTATTGCCCAAAGGAATACCAAGTAAAAACAGATATGAGAACTGCCCAGCCAAAATTGGTAATATATACTAATACTCCTATTTAATATCTATAGCCTATAGTTTAATATCTACATTACTCAAATTAATTAAACACTACAATTACTATATTGTGCAGAAAACAGCTTTCTACAAATACCTCCAATCGAAGAAAAACTCCCTTGCTAGAAAAGTGAAGAATATTGAAGTGGAGTGCACTCAAATGCCATGGCAGGACGAAGAGAACACAACAGATTGTGGCGTGTATTGCATGCGCCACATGGAAACTTACAAAGGGACTGAGGTAGACAAGTGGGAAACTGGTTTCATAGGGGGGATAATGGTGTAAGTAATAATCAACTTTGTTCTACATTACACATGTTATCTCTTGTTTCATCTAATTTTAACATCTATCTTTTATTTATTGTAGGCTGCTTTCATTACATCGCTTAGAGCCAAATATGCAGCAAACATACTCATGTGGAAGAACAATAAATACATGGAAACAATCATGCACTCAGCAAGGGACATCTACAAGAAAGAGAATTGAAACTACTAACAAGAATCTGTAAAAAGCAATTCTGCTAATCCAAGCTCAAACTTACTTGTATTTTGGTTCAGTTTTTGGAAGTTTCAGTTGATTGACAATTATCAGAAATTTGTATAAACTCCTTTTGGTAATCCAAGCTAATGTTTACTCGTATTCTATATTTTTCATATTCCCAATATAGTTTTGTGCATAATCAATGCAAATACTACACAAACTATAAACTATTAAAAAAATGTACATAATCGTATAAAGTAATACACATAAACCATAAAATGAATACACATAAACGTTACAGTACACCTACTGATAAAAAAAGGTCTGATATAACTTTGTTTCTGCTATGTTATGCAACCCAACACCCTACTGAATATAATCCATTCAAATAATATACATAAGACCAAGCATATCATTTCCCTATACTGATAACTGCAAATCTAAAAAAGAAATGTACATAAATATATAAAAGTAATTAACACAAATAAAAATGTACATAATCATATGAAGTAATACACATAAACCATATAATGAATACACATAAACTTTCAAAACAGTGCACATACTAATAAAAAAAGTCTGGCAAATATTTTTTTTCTGCTAATTTATACAATCAAACATCCTACTGAATATAATCCATGTACAGAATACACATAGGACCAAGCATATCATTTCCCTATACTGATAACTGCAAATCTAAAAAAGAAATGTACATAAATATATAAAAGTAATTAACACAAATAAAAATGTACATAATCATATGAAGTAATATACATAAACTATATAATGAATACACATAAACTTTTAAAACAGCACAAATCATAATAAATGTCTATTTTATTACTGCTGAGTTATATGATTCAACATCCTTCTGTACATGATACATATAATTACGATGATTAACACTAACATATGCTTTAATTATCCTCCATACTTGACATTGTGCTAACGTGACAAAAACTAGAACCTCCGGAACTTGGATGGACAAGATATCCATCACCAGTAATATTTAAAATATCATCCTCAACTTGAGACTGAACAACAAATTTTATTTTGGAAGCAACCGTATGTGCAAGATGCTTTCGTCCCCTTGCTTTGTTATATTTCTATGAAATAACACTGCTCACCCTCCTATTCCGCAACCCTTTCATCCGCCTAGTAGATGGATCCTTTATAACACCACTTGACGATCCTATGTCACATTCTTCAAATAAACTACCACCACATTCAGCTTCAAGTATTCTCTTTGCATCTGCAATTGCTTCTTCACAAATCTTCCGTCCTTCGATATTTTCCTGACTGTAAACAGCAAGCCTCTGAAATTTCCTAATGACTTATAATAACCAAACAGAAGATGCACCATTACCACTATCAACTCTAGACATTATATCAAAATTATCAACTTCAACAACTTTTTTAGTCCACCTCTTCAAAATATACTTCTCAGGGACTTCAGAAACACAATGCACATTTAGAATGCGTAAACAATGACAACACAAAATCCTCAATTCAGTAAACAACTTGCAACTACATCCAATGTCCATTTGTCTACTATTAAAGATCACTTCATGCCTAATAATATCAACATCAGGCCTCCAAACATGATACTTGTACACACCATTTTCCAACATCACACACTCTTGATAACATGATCCACCTTTCAAAAATTGTTCTTCAAACAAATAGTATATCTCAATTGTATAAATTTTCCTAGCATGCAACAGAATCTTAACATTATCCATCACCATTGTAGGTACACCTTGTGAACACAGAACATCTTCCCCATTCTCTCTACTTCTCCACTCTGATATAACCCCAACAAATGAGTTATAAAAATCACACAGACCAGATGTCTTAGACAACCTTCTAGAAATAGAGTGGTTTGTGGTCTCACTCCTTTGAGAAGATAAAATCCCACCCGAAAAATAATCTTTATTAAATGCAGGACACCATTTTTCTCTACACCCATAAAGCTTTTCAATCCAATGATTATTGTGACATTTATATGTTGTAACCATCCTGAAATAACATGCCATAAATATATTAAAGTAAACCTACAAGCATATCAGGATATCACATACAGAACAGACTAATGTACATAATCTTATACATGAATACACATAAACTATCAAATAAATACACATAAACTTGATCCAAAAAAAAATTAATTCTGTATTCTGTAAAATATAATCTAAAAATAGTCATTCAATGATAATCCAATATAAACTAATAAACTAATAAAAAAAAAATAACGAAGCATACATCAGACACGTACCTTGTCCAGTAAAATTCAAACTCTGCCTCTGTATCCGTATACTTCAACAAGCAATTGAATATATCTAAGAAATCTTTTTGATTTCTTAACCCTTTAATGTGCTTCTTTGAGTTCTCACCAATATGCCATATACATAGCCGATGTCGTGAACTTAGAAAAACTTGAACAATTGCAGCAGCCATAGCAGCACATTGATCAGTCATTATACTTTGTGGACTTTTGTAATCCATAGATCTAAAAAATGTCTTAAACAACAATACAAATGACCCAGTCTTCTAATTCATCAAAAACCGCATCCAAACATAACATTCATGCAATGGTGATTCATGCCAACAAAATGTCCACAAATCATGTCATATTTGTTAGTACGATATGTTGTATCGTGAACTAACAAGTCCCCAAACAAATCATAATCTCTCCTCATTCGTTCATCCCTAAAAAAAAAAAAAAACTACACAACCTTGACTCCAAATCCACCTCAAAATCAAAGTAAAAATCCCTTTCACTTGACTGCCTCCGTTTGAATATTTCAATCAATGTGTTTGAATCAGTCCCATCCAATCTGTTCAATGCATCGGTACATAAAGAGTTATATGCATCCCTACTTGTAAAACCAACAAGTGGTGATCCCCCTGATTGTGTTTTAAGGAATCTTACACCAGCTGCAACAGACACACCACTGCTCTTCAAATCAGTATGATAGGAAATATGATTCCTAGACACCATCTTATGTGACCTTAGAAGGTAACTCTTGCTTGGTGGAACCAATTCATTATTATGCAACTTCTCATGCTTCGAAACAATCCACATCTCATTCTCATGTAAAACGAATTGGACAAATCCACCGCAACCTGTACGACCAGCAATTTTAGAATAACACTCTTTTCCTGTAATCCTTTTAAATCCATCCTTCGAACAATGAAACATCTTCGTCTTCATTGTTTTTGTAGCAGAAGTATATCTTTGCTTACCCCTCCTCACACTAAAACCTACTCTAAAAGCATAGTCATTATACATGTCATATGCTTCATCAACCGAACACACTGACATCCCTACCAAATCCTGATCAGCTGCAAACCACATACAGTTTAAATACCCCTACTATTAATGTACATAATCCATAACTATAATACACATAAACACATGACACAATACACATAATCATAAATATATAAAATATCTTTTCAGTCCATCTTACTATGACATTCAATCCTAAAATCTACACAATTGCATAAAAAAAAGAACAAATCAAACCATACAATGCACATAAAACCTCCCTAGATCAACATCTTCAAATCAGACCATACTAGCATCCAATACAACCGCAATCAAACAACAATCCTATATCAATTCTTATATAATTCAACGCATCAATAACCCATGCGAATTCAATATATTCATCACACATCAAACAAATACAAAAAAAAAATCTTAAAAACCAAATATTAACACCTGGATTAACATCCTCTGTATCTGCCACTCCAACAGGATCAGTTATTTGCTGTCTCCGCCACATGCTGCTGCGCAATCGAATCATCCATGACTTACATCCAACAATTGCAAAAATATAGAGCAAATCGAAAAATTAGATCGATACCGTGTTTCTAATCCAACAGACATGATCGACACGACGACACCATCGCTTTAGAACCCCTCTCTCACTTCCCTCTTCTTAACACTTAACGGCGTTAACGGGACAATAAAAAAAGGCCGTTACTTATCAACTCCATACGGCGTCGTATTGAAGTTGGGCGCACATAGAGACATACACCGGGGTGTATGGTATAAATTGCCGAACACTTTGGCCTTGACTAAAGACAAAAATGAGGTTTCTAAAGTCCTAAGACAATGCATACATTATCAAAATCCAATTATACAACGATTCCTAACAAAAAAACAGAGCTTATACAATAACGTATAATGTCAAATGAAACTTTTGTAGAATTAAAATAATACTTTAGTGTTGTTATAATGACACTAATGCGTGTGGAAAATTAAACTAAAAAACAAAACTCATACAATAACATATATTGTCAAATGAACATGAAGTATAATTAAAATTATATTTCAATGTTACTATAATTAAACTAGTGCGTGAAAATGAAACAAAAAAATAGAGCTCATGCAATAACGTATATTATCAAATAAAATTATAGTAGAATTAAACTGATACTTTAGTGATGGTATAATGAAATTAGTGTACATGAAAAATGAAACTAAAAAATAAAACTATATAAACTTCTCACGAAGATTATGACCACTCGGCTTAAAAACATTTCCAGAAAATTAGTAGGCCCACATCAAACAAGCTTCATCCCTTGGAGACAAATTTCGGACAATATTTTGGTATACCAAGAGATCCTAAATTCAATGAGAACTAAGAGGGGCAAGCTAGGCTAGATGATGCTCAAAGTAGACCTCGAGAAAGCCTATGATAGGCTATCTTGGGAATTGATTGAAGATACTCTTAAGGACATTGGTTTCAACCTCAATTGGAGAAGAAATATCCGAAGTTGGTTACTACCTCGAGGCGTGCAGTGCTCTGGAACTCCTGCCAAACGGATTGGTTCTCACCAGGGAGGGGAATTAGACAAGGAGATCTTATCTCTCCCTCTTATTCGTGCTGTGCATTGAAAGATTAAGCCCTATCATAAGTGATTCAATAAGTTGTGGGCGCTGGAAAGGTATAAAAATTACCCGTCATGCTCCTAACTTGTCTCATTTGTTTTTTGCAAACGACCTAGTCCTTTTTGGAGAAGCTACGGTATGTCAAGCTTTGGAGATGAAGAACTGCCTGGAGCTATTCTGTGCAAGCTCGGGACAGAAGATCAGCCTCTCCAAGTCCTCTCTATTTTTTTTCCAAAAACACAGATCCAGCCATCCAACAGAGGATCGAGGAGTCAATCGGCATACCTAAAGTTCAAGATATGGGAAGATATTTGGGAGTACTATCTATACACGGTCGCCTTAAGAGTGGCTCATTTAGTGGAATCTTAGAGAAAATACAAGCCCGTCTAGCAGGCTGGAAAGCAAGATCTTTATCCTTAGCTGGGCGTCACGTGCTGGTTCAATCTGTATTAGCCTCAATTCCTTATTTTACTATGCAGACCACCATGATGCCATAAGGAGTCATTTCTTCTATCGAAAAATTGATCAGGAACTTTCTCTGGAGCAGCAGTGATGGGGCTAGGAAGTGCCATCTCTTGAATTGGAATATGGTGACCAATAGTAAATCTAATGGAGGGTTGGTGATAAACATTATTTTTAGTGTTATTTTAAATAATCTTTTTATAATTAATTCACAATAATTGATTAATTTTTATCTATTTTTATTTATTATTGCTATAAGTAATTTTATTTAATATTGTTTAATTTTGGGGTTATTTTTGCTATTAATCTAGTTTTGTTATAAGAATTGTTAGCCCAATAAATTATTGACTTCATTTTTATTATTATTATTATTATTATTATTATTATTATTATTATTATTATTATTATTATTATTATTATTATTATTATTATTATCATTGTTATTATTATTATTATTATTATTATTATTATTATTTAGAAACAAAGGAGTCGCAGACTTCTTCTCCGTCAAAGCTACGATCCTATTGAATAGCTGAAGCTTCGGACGAGACCGTGTCGGAGGAAGACGCAGTGACATTCGGTACAGCTCTGATTGGATGGTGAGAGATTAGAGTTACGATTGGACTGAGGATTATAAATAGAGGGTAGAAGGCATCAAGCCATGATCATCGATTGGCCCCGGACCAATTCCGGAGGCGATCCACAGCAGAGTCCATTCGCGCGGCGGAGCTTTGGGCTGGTGCGATTTCCGGACGGCAGCTTGGTGAATTTCTTGGGCGGCTTGGGACAGCAATAGCATTTTCTGGTTCAATCAGCTTAGTTTTTCATTATTCTTTTTAATTTTCTTGGTAAATTGCATTTTTGATTTTGAGGATTGCCAGCCGAGCTTTTTGGTTTGGTAACAAAGTCTTTCAATTTGTTTAGATAATTGTTAGTTTAGATAATTGTTTGGCAGTAACAATTCCACACGCCATTATTTCCTCATCCCTTCGTCCCTTTTATTTGTTAACTTATTTACTTTGTCTTTTGTTGGAAGATCAAATGTTCTGATTTAATTGCTAAACAATCTGATTTATGTTTTTAGATCTTTTTAATTTGATTGTTTAGTTAATATTCTGGTTCGTGGTAATTTACTTGTTCACCTTCGTAAGTTTTGATTCAATTATTTATTCGTTTAGCTTCATCAATTTCAATTATTAAAGTTATTAAATTGTCCATCAATTGGTTTACGTTCCTAGTATTTATTTGATCTCTTGCTATTTCATTTTGAGGTTATTCAATTATTTTTCATGTCGTTATTTTCTACTGGTAATTTAATTTAGCTAAGCTAATCCATTCTGGTTATCAATTCTATTTTTTTGACTTTGATTATTATACTTTCTTAAGTTGTCCTCATTCGATTTAATTTCGCTGCAATTTAAACTTTATTTTCTCTTTCCATTTTTTTAAGTAATTAAACTGCATTGTAACAATTCCTTGTGGGATCGACCCTTGCTAAGCACGCTACTACTACCATTGACTCGTGCACTTGCGAGGACTTTATTAAAATTGTCCAACAGTTGGGCATTCGCAGCCTCGAACACATGAACCTAGGCTTTCTAGCCAAACTGGGCTGGAGGCTGTTACAAGACGAGAATTGTCTTTGGGTGAAACTCTTCAAAGCCAAGTATGGTGTGTTGTCATCAGATATTTTGTCTTGGCAAGCAAAACGCAACAGCTCGAATGCTTGGAGAGGAATTTTAAAGATCAAACCCATTTTCCTGAACGGGACGAAGATGATTGTGAGAAATGGCCAGAACTCTCTCTTTTGGCATGATAAGTGGCTGGGCGAGAAATCACTTCTAGAAGTAGCTATCAACACTGTCCCCTTGCAGGATTTAAGCCGACTGGTAGCATCTTACTGGGATGCAGAATTTGGCTGGCTCTGGGACCAATTTGACAATCTACTCCCTGTGGAAATCCTCAATAAGCTGGCAGCTTTTATCCTTGTAGAGGAACCTGAGTTAATAGACATAAGGGGATGGATGGAATGACAAATCTTCTGGGTCTTTCTCCGTCAGCTCTGCCTATGGCTTTGCGGTGAACTCAAGCGAACCAGTAGAAGCTGCTAAGTGGAACAATATTTGGAAATTAAAACTGCCCAATCGCATTCGAACCTTTCTTTAGCTCCTTAGGCATGACAAGATCATGACTAACTACAATAGGATGTAACGTGGAATGACTAACTCTCCTACTTGTTGGCTCTGCGAGGGGCTGGTTGAAGATTCTGACCATGTGTTACGTCTCTGCCCAGCTGCGAGGAAGTCTGGAAGCATATTCTACCCGCTTCTCATAGAAGGCTACAGGGATTAACTTTCAAAAATTGGTTAGATGAAGGCATCTCGTCTGCAGCAAAGAGTAGAAGGCCATGTAGTGACAGTATCACCTTTGCTGTTACTGCATGGTGGATCTGGAAATGGCGCAACGAAGCAATCTTTAATGGAACTATCAAACCACTCAATTCAAAAGGCTATACTATTAATTATATCTCAACTAGAGGATATTAGCAGAGCCTTCGCTAGATCAAGGGGACTTCAATCAGGTGAAAATGATATGATTTGGATGCAACTTTGCTGGGATAAGCCGAGGGAGGGTACCTTTAAACTAAATGTGGATGGTTCCGCGACCTCAACCTCACAGCCAGCTGGGTGTGGTGGAGTTGTTAGAGACCATAATGGGAAGTGGAAAAAAGGGTTCCTTGCATCTTTTGCGTCCTGCACACCATTCGAAACGGAAGCCTGGGCATTTCTAAAAGGTATCCAATTACTAGCTTCTTTGAATTGCAACCGTGTTACCATTGAAAGTGATTTTGCAGATGCGGTAGAGTATATCAACTCCACCAGATTACCTACAATTGCTGGCCACAACATCTTGGAGGCTTGTAAACGGGAGATCCGGTTGTTTGAACTTTGTGAGATAAAATTCATTCCCCGAGAAATTAACTGTGTGGCGGATAGCCTCGCACGTTTGGCAAGATTACAAGGTGTTAGCTTCCAGATACTCTCTGACCCCCCCCCCCCCCCCCCCTCCCCAGCTGAAGTTATCACACAATTAGAAGAGGACGTTGTTGGTTTTCCTGTTTGGCGTAATATGTGCAATTCTCCTTAGTTCTGTTTTGTTCATCTTGTGGGTTTTCCCCTTCCATCAATATATATATAAAAAAATAAAACTATATATATATATATTTTGGAATACTATTAACTCTATTACAATGCAGTGTCTGTTCATAACTACTAGCGCCTCCACTTAGGCTCGAACCCACAACCTCCCATGTGGGAGTTCAACTTGGTATCATGTGAATAAAACTATATTGTTAAATGAAATTAAAGTGTAATTAAAATGATATGATGTCGTTTTGCTTTATTATCCATACTTTAAAATGATATGATGTCGTTTTGCTTTATTATCCATACTTTTACATGAACCATGGCTCACAATAAAATTTGTTTTGAAGAAATGGCAAATTATACCGTGCACCAGGGTGCACAATGCATTGTGCGCCCTGACTCAAAACGACGTCGTTTTGTACTTTTTTCGCATGTCTGCTGTTAACCCCTTAAAAAAAATCATGTTTCGAATGTACAAAATTGTATAATAGCAAACACAGAATTTTATACCTGAAAACACATAATTTTTATAACTGAAAATCCCCATGTTTCAAATGTACAGAATTATATAATAAAAAACACAGAATTTTATAACTGAAAATTTCCATGTTTCGAATGTACAAAATTATATAATAGAAAACACAGAATTTTATACGTGAAAACACATAATCTTTTTTAAAAGGATAAAAATCCCCTGTTTCAAATGTACAGAATTTTATACCTGAAAACACAGAATTTTATAACAGAATACAAAACGACGTCGTTTTGGGAGACGCGGGCTATGGCGCACGGTATAATAATTGTGAAGAAATCATTAGGTAATTTTAATTAGCCCATTCAATTAAAATACTTATCCAATTAATAAAATGATTAAAATAATTATCCAATAATCAACCTCCAAATGAAGTCCAATAGCAAACATATCAACCCATTACTCATTATTAATTTTTCAATTTCTAGTTTTCTACAGCAGCATATAATGGATCATGAAAATATAAAGTGCAACTTTAGTATTGATCTCATTGTAATTATTAGATGTTAGATTGTGATGTGTTATTCAAACTACTCTTTCAAAGAAGCAATAGCCTCTGCTATGCCGGAATGTGTAAATCTTAAATCATCATAATATGTATAAACCTTCCAAATGTGAGATCTGAGTTTTACTCTAAACAGATACAGAACCCTCTGTAAACTCATATCTAAATTGATTACAAATTAAAGCCTCTAATCTCATCATCTCAGACAATAATATCTTATGAAATTTGGGATACAAACAATGAAGATGTGGGTGCAAATTACACATTGAAAATTTGGAAGGAGTCCACCACAGTATGCAGTCTGTCTTTCATCTTCTCCCATCTCCTCTCATTCGCCCCGGTTGTCAATGTATAGATCTTACCTGCAGTTAATACTTTGTTTTCAGTCGAAGTATGTATAACGTATGGGAACCAAAACCATTCTTCTTATCAACAACATATATATAGGTTTAAACCCTAAACCTGAGGGCCCCTCACTCCCTACCCTAGGTGAGAGGAGGTAAATCTCGGGATGTGCCTCAGTGATGCAGAGTCTGAGTGCTTGCTTTTTGTCCCAAGACTGAGATCCTCCCTAATTGAGGATTCAAACTCGGGTATTTACTGGGTCACTACACCCACACTCAACCTTTCGACCACTGAGCTATGCCCCGGGGGCTTATCAACAACATATATATATATATATTGGCAAATGGTAGTTAATAAACAAAGAGATGAGTGCATGTTTGTTTGTATACACAAATTCAATGTTTGTGTGTATTTCCTCTTGGTTAGTACGAGTGCTATATTTCATCAGTCAAATGCCATTTTAACCCAATGATGGATTCAGTTAGTTTCTTACCATTGCCTATGCAGACTGCGGTGAGAGCATGGCGAGTGAAATTTGGTGCTTTCGCAACAAACTCAAACGTATAGTAGGCTTTCCCCTCTTCATCACGCTGTAACATCATAACCAACCGCAAACTTTATAGACATTGAGCAAATGTAATTCATGCAAGCATGCCAACAAATTAAATGCGTATATATGGAGAATGGCATAAATTATATTGTGATAACAGCTAGCTACTATACACGCAAGCATTTGCCAAACACTGAAGCAAGCATGTATATTTTGCTTGAGGTAGGGCGCTAGACTTGGCCCCGCACTTGCGAGTCTAACTGTACAGTTTTTGCTCTTGCTGGGACTCGAACTCGTAACCTGGCTCTAATACCACTTGTTAGGATCAGACACTTAACACTACGTCAAAAACTATAGCTCACAACGAAGGTGCAACTTCATTTCCTTATACTGCCACATTTTTTAGAGGCAAGGTGCTGGACTTGGCCTTTCACAGGCCTCCACCAAACATAACAGATCAGATATTTCAGGATCAGACCTTTAATTATGACTAGTGAATTCAAAGATCCCAATCTATTGGAAATTAGTTGCATATACAGCAATACCAGTGGAAAAGTAGATTAATCAATGTCAAGACATCATGTACCTCTTTCACCTCAATGAGTTTTGTTTTCTGAGAAGGTGAAGCCAAAACCTTTGTTATTAAAGTTTCAGCAACCTGAAAGAAATTATTTTTTTTAAAAAAAAAAAAAAAAATTCATGATGACATTTATTTATTTATTTACTTATCAAAGTTTCAGATATCAGAATTTGCTGCTTACTTCTTGTGCAGAACCAAAGTCCCGAATGTCTTGTTTGGTAGTCGGGAACACATTTACACTCACACTTTCTAGTGGTTCGATAACATCTTTGAAAACCTTGTCCTGACCTTCGACAACTACTTCCTGGTCGGAAGAAAATAAACAAATTGAAGGCAACAGAGCAGACGCAAAAAGGAAAAAGATTTTTTACAAAAATGTAAAGAATCAGATCTTTGCACACTGACTAACAATGAGAAAGTGTGAATTTAAGGATGTTCAATAGATAAGACTAAAGGGAGTAAGGGCAAACCTGCCACCCAAAGGGATAGACAAAAGAGTATCCATCCTTCTTGTCAGTGACTGGCAGAAATCCCTTCTTACTTTCTGCAGCAACTGAGCCATATCAAAGGTGTACTCTTAGGATATCAGCCATCAAAATTTAAGAATCAATTCACTAAAATCGTATGCCATACTTATTGATCCATTATCTCAAATAAATGTGATACAAAAACAAAATTTAATATCCCTGAAAGCAATGGGGTAGCAGTCATAAGTCGTAACTGAAAGCTAATGGAGAAGAAGAGAGTAGATGATTGACGAAAGCCATGAGATTCTAAAAATAGATAAGTATAAGAACCTTGATAATGGTATACTTACACGATGTCTTAGTCTGCATAGAAATCAACAAGGGGCAAATAATTGCTCCCAAGGCAAGTACTTGACGCCTTTGTGGTTGATCTGCAACATGAATAAAGAAGCAACAAGAATTTATTAGTGAAGTAGAGATCGAGAAAGAAGTCGATGTGAATGAAGAAGAAACTTTTGCCCTATTGGATTATGCCAGAAATACGCATGCAAAAAGCAAAAATCCATGATATTAACATGGTTTGAACATTTTTTCAGTGAATTATGATAATAATTTATGCAGTATCTATTTCGAGTTTTGTGAACCCCATTGAGCATTCGTGTTCATGCAAACCAACCAAACATTGTCACTACTAAAATTACACCAAATATGATAGAAGAAACATAACAAGGCCAAAATATCCCCATCAAGTAATATGCCTGTCACTCAACTAAGCTAAAATGCACATCGGCCAAACCACACTAAAAGATTGAATCAAACCAATTAGCTAGTCTAACCATGGTCTTATAAACCCATATGTTCTCTCTTATTTTGTCAATGTGGGACTCTTAACAATCCAGAAATATTTAGGCCCTGTTTGGTAACATAGTTAGTTTATTAGTCAATTTTGGCTTATTTGACCATATTTAGCTGTTTGACTTGTTAAACAATCAATATAAGTGTTTGATTAATTAGCTTTTTGTAACAACTTATTACTCCAAAATGCTAAAATTCAAAAAGCTTCTCAAGATAGCTTTTTCGATCAACTTTTTGAGAAAGTCATTTTGTATGTAATCAGCTACCAGTTAACAACTAATTTACCAAACACTTTTCTACAATCAGCTAATGCTATCAACTAGCCAACCCCACTAACCCAATCAGCTAACACCCCCTTAAACCATTTTATTCCCTTACAATTGTACACAAGTTTGTAAATTTTCAAAAGGGATACCTGATGGATCCTTAGTTCATTTAAACAAACATGCAATGCTCATGAATTGGAATAGTGTGTGAACATGTGTATATATATATATATATATATATATATATATATATATATATATATATATATATATATATATATATATATATATATATATTGCTTCACCGACAATTCAAGTAACGAACATGTGAGAACCAAGCTTAATTTAGCTTAGAAGTTTGATAGATAGAGCGAGTATATGGAATGTAAAATAGGATCCGACCTGGGGAAGAGGAAGTTAAAGCCACAGGCACTTGCTCTGATCTGACAAGGAAGGAAGCGTGCCTGCGATTTTGGACATTTCTAAACAATCCTCCTAGCTGGTGAATTTCGATCCACATTCATTTATACACCAAACATACATACATAATAATCTTGACAAATGTGAATAGCGAAGCAAACGCAAAGAGACAGATCGAGAGAGAGAAGTAGAACCTGAGGGGATGCGCGGGGAAAGCACGAATGATGGATTGTTTGAAACTCTTGCAATGACACCATTTCTCCTGCACTCTTTTGAAATGAAAAATTTATAAACAATTATGCTATTATGCACCACGTACAAAGATTCATTTCTCACTAAAAGGAACCAAATTTCCCAATGTCAACAAATGCCCAGGAATCCATCCAACTTTAGCATTGATACAAAACTAATATGGATAATTGGATATAGCAAGCTCACTCTACATTTCAAGTTCATATATGTGTCTATATATAAATAAAATCAATTTGATTATGCTAACAGCTTCATGTGTAAGTGTAACATATGCAATAAATTTGAACCAATTCTCTAGCTACAAGCTGAATGGGGAGAGCTTCCTTACTCAAAAACCAGAGCCATCTAATTTCAACTAAAAAAAAAAAAAAAAAAAAAAAAGGTTCCCATTTTATAATTATATTTACTAAAGATTGAGAAGAAAGTTTAATTATTGATGTGCATTTGTGATATGATGTTTTAAAATGCAAAGTCCCTCCATTACAGAAAACATTGGCCGGCGTTCAAGAATTACCTTGGCTTAGGCGCCGGCGGTGGAATTTTACGGCGAGTGAGGCTGCCACGTGTCCGAGTGGGGGGTTCTGTTTCTCCTTATTATCTTCTTCAGTTCTGCCTCGCACCACATCATCCAAATCTCCCACCTTCTCTCTCTCACTATTATATCTCTTATTATTCTCTCCATTCGTTAAAGTGAAAAGACCATAATAACCCTGCCCAGTTGGCCTATTGCACTACTAATTTTGTATGAGTTAATGTCATATAGAGTCTTTCAAGTATAATAATTTTGTCACGTTTAATCTTAAACTTTTAAATTAATCATCTATAATTATTCTATTTTTAAATGGTTACCACTTATGGTCTAAATTAACCACTTATAATTTTTCAACTTTCAAAATTTAACTAAGAGTTTTTTACAGTTTTGGTCCCACGACTATAGTGTCACTAACAATTTTAATCCACGATTTTTATAACTTGCAGAATTTGTACACGACTATTACTTTCTTAGCAAAAATAGTCCTTCCGGTAAACTTTTCGTCAATTTTTCACCAGAATTTTTTTTTCTCCTTTTTTCACAAGTGTACAATGCTCTTTTCATTTATCTAAACTGATGATGATGATGATGATGATGATGATGATGATGATGATGATGATAAAATGATAAAGTTAAGCTCAGATTAGGCACACAATACACTTTTACCCTCATTTTCCCTCTTTTACCTATTTTAAAATAATGATTAATTACTTTCTTGAAGGAGACAAGTTCAAGTTTAAGTGAGAATGAGGGTGAAAGTGTACTGTGTGCGTAATTTGAGCTTAAGTTTATTATTATTTTTTTATTATTATTATTATTATTATTATTATTATTATTATTATTATTATTTAGGTCATTAGTTTAGATAAATGAAAAGATCATTATACCCTTGTGAAAAATGAGAAAAAAAATTTCGGTGAAAAATTGCGAAAAGTTCGCGGAAAGGACTATTTTTGCTAAGAAAGTAATAGTCGTGAACCAATTCTGCAAGTTTTAAAAGTCGTGGATTAAAGTTGTTAGTGACACTATAGTCGTGGGACCAAAACTGCAAAAAAACTCATTTAAGTAATCCCGTAGTTCTTATGGAAGGATCAAAGACGGTTTAAATTTGATAGTAGAAGGATCATCAGTGGTTAACATGGATTATGAATGGTAACAAATTAAAAGTCGAAGGACCACGAGTGATCAATTTATAAATTTATTACTAAATGTGACAAAATTACTATATTTGGAGGACCCAATGCTACTACCTCAATTTTGTCTTTTCATCCTCCCGTTGATGAGGGAACGTTATGCTGTAGAACCGTGGCCACCTTACAAGGTGGGCACGGTTCCAGATTCATAACTTTTATACTGTAAATTCATAATTTAAATATAATATATTCATAATTTCTATATTGCAAATTCATAATATCGGTAGATTCATAATTTCTAAACTGTATAATTATCAAATTATGAACATATAGTTCTGGTGATTTGGGAATACAGAGTTCAACAATTGAAAATATCAAAAATTATGAACATATAGCTCTATCACATGTTCACAAACTTAATACTATAGATTCATGATTTCTATACTGTAGATTCATAATTTCTACACTATAGATTCATATTGAAGACGAAACAATGCGATTGTGAAGAGAAAAACGCGACAAGTGAAAAATTAAATTCACACTATAAAAATTATGAATCTGGAATCGTGTCCACCTCGCGTTTCCACAGCATAATTTGCAGTTGATGAGGCTCCTCCTTTCATGCCCTGGACCGCGCCGCATCAGATCAAGAATTGATCCCTCCTAGAGCCCCTGAGCAGAGCTTAACCCTCAGGCCTCAGCCCAGCCGCCTCCATTGCTTCGCTGCACCGCTTTCTCTCTCACTCACTTTACACCCAAAATGCGTAGGTCTACGGCTCTCCACCTCCGTGCAGTTTTCCGGTGGAAATCTTCATCAGCAACCGCCGAACATTGCCTTCTCAACTCTCCTCAATTTTCACTCTCTAAACCCCATTTTCTGTCTCCTTCGCCGCAATATTCTTTCTCCTCCGCCGTTGCCCAACTAAAATCACCCTTCTTTCTTTCTTCCTCAGCTCTCAGGTCATTTTCTTCCGAAGCAGATGAGCGTACCGGTGGCGGGTCAATAAATGAAGAAAGCCCAGAAGAAGCAACGGCTGGAATTCTCTCCGCCGAGCTTCTCAAGGATCCGCAGGTAGAATCTCTCCCTATCCTGCAAAGACTCGATCTTTCCTTCTCTCACATCGCCCTCACACATTCCCTCATCCGCGCCACTCTCAATCTCTCCCCTGATTCGGGCAGGGCGGTGCTTGGGTTTCTCGATTGGGTCAAGACCCGGCCCAATTTCGAGCTAGAAGATGAGGTTTACTCTTGCTTCGTCGACTATTTTGGTAGAAAAAAGGATTTCAAGGCCACCCATGATGTGCTTATTGGTGGCCGTGGTGTTATTGGGGCTAAAACCCTGGAATCCATGATTGATAGATTAGTCCGGGCTGGGAGGCCTACCCAGACAGTGGCCTTCTTTGAGAAAATGGAGAAAGAATACGGGTTTGTTAGGAACATGGATTCCTTGAAATTGGTTGTTTCAAAGCTCTGTGAACATGGTTTTGCTAGTTATGCTGAGAAAATGGTGAAGAGTTTAGCTAATGAGTTTTTCCCTGATGAATATGTATGTGAGATGTTAATCAAAGGGTGGTGTGTTGATGAGAAACTCGATGAGGCACAGAGATTAGCTGGTGAGATGTATAGGGGAGGATTCGAGATTGGTACGCCTTCGTATAATGCGATTCTTGACTGTGTTTGTAAGCTTTGTAGGAGGAAGGATCCTTTCCGGCTTCAATCCGAGGTGGATAAGTTGTTGTTAGAAATGGAAGAGAAGGGCGTCCCGAGAGACGTGGAGACCTTCAATGTGTTGGTTTCTAATTTGTGTAAGATTAGACAAACTCAGACCGCGATTGACTTATTCTATCGGATGGGGGAATGGGGATGTCATCCCAACGAGACAACGTTTCTCACGCTTATTAGGAGTTTGTATCAGGCCGCGAGAGTTGGAGAGGGCGACGAAATGATTGATAGGATGAAGTCTGCGGGATATGGAGATGCGCTCGATAAGAAGGCGTATTATGGATTTCTTAAAATACTATGTGGGATCGAGAGGATCGATCACGCCATGAATGTTTTCACGAAGATGAAAGAAGATGGTTGCAAACCGGGAATTAAGACGTATGAGTTATTGATGGGAAGGTTGGTTGCTCATGGCCGGATGGATAAGGCAAATGCTCTTTATAAAGAAGCCGAGAGCGATGGGATTCAAGTTGAGCCAAAGGCATATAAGGTGGATCCTAGATTTGCAAAGAAGAAGTCTTCTACTTGCGTGAAGAAGGAGAAGAAGCGAGAGACATTGCCCGAGAAAATGGCTAGGAAGAGGAGAACTCTCAAGAAAATCCGGCTTAGTTATGTGAAGAAGCCCAGAGGAACACGTCGAGCCCTTTGATCAAAATCGCATTTGATGTTGTCAAGAAAAACTCCATGAAAGGTTAAACTTCACTATAGAGTAATTCTTTCACTTGATTTTACTGGTGGCTTCTTGTTTTTAGATCAGTTTTGCAACATTAGAAATAAATTTTCAGTTCAAACTTCAATGCTCCGACTCTGCTATACATGAGATTTTAGCTGTTAAGTGTTTGGTTTTGTTCATTTTAGAGTGTCAATCAACATCAGACTTGGTATATGACTCCAAGCATTTCTTTGTTGTTAAATCTGCAAAAAAGTAGCCTCAAAGATTTCGTGATGGGCTATCGAGCAACATACATTTTTATGCCCCCCTATCCCACTCTTATTACTTGTGTCTTATTACTTGTGTTAGCAAATAGAGTTTTCGATAAATTACTTGTATGTGGTTGTTTATGTTCTTTATTAAGGTAAACGAACATAAATGATAAATCAACAAATTTTAGAGCTCGATTTATAAATGAATAGAGTCTGAACAGTTGTAGATTCGTTTGCTAAGAGCTTGCTTGTGTTCGTTTAATAGTTTACGAACATGAACAAGCAATTAAGTGCACATATATATATATAAGTTCAGGTGCGGCTGCACCAATGGTTAAGCGATAAAACACACAAATTAGGTACGCATCACCAAAAACACACCATTAGGTATGAATAAAAGCACCACACAGTGTTCGGAAATACATCATTAGGAGTGTTGAGTTATATGATGTATTTTTTTGGGGTGTATTGTGTATTTTTTGGTATATTTTTGCACTTCAGTGTTGTGTTTTTCTCCTATGTTGGTGTCTTTCGTTAACAATGTTGGTGTATCCGTGCGGCCGCATTTGAGCAATTTCATATATATATATATATATATATATATATATATATATATATATATATATGTATATCATGAACATGTGTATGTACGTGGTTTGTTATTAAGTGTTGATGAACGTGTTCAAGAACATGTTCGTGGACGTGTTTGCAAATGTTAACGAAGACTAATGAACGCTTAAAAAACAAACATAAATTTAGGATTTTCAAAAACTTTAACAAACACAAACAATAGTAACTTTCGTTCATTTATGTTCGATTTGTTAAGAGTCTTACTTATTACCAATCGTTATGCTATGGACCCGTGTCCAGCATGCATGCTGGACACGGGTAACAGTGATCTTTTTTTTTTTTTTTTTTTTTTTTTTTTTAAATTTCAGACCGCTTCATTATAGGAGTATATGTTCATAATTTTATTACTATATGTTCATAATTGTAAGTTCATAATGTCAGAGCTCTATGTTCATAATTCAATAACTGTACATTCATACTTTCATAACTGTACATTCATAATTCCGTAACTGTACATTTATAATTCAATAACGGTAACTTCATAATTTTCGAAACTCTATGTTCATAATTTTATCACTATATGTTCATATTGTAAGTTCATAATGTCAGAGCTCTGTGTTCATAATTGCATAACTGTACATTCATAATTGCATAACTGTACATTCATAATTCCGTAATTGTACATTCATAATTCAATAACTGTAAAATCATAATTTTCGAAGCTCCATGTTCACAATTTTAGAGCTCTATGTTCATAATTTTATCACTATATGTTCATAATTGTAAGTTAATAATGTCAGAATTTTGTGTTTATAATTTTATAACTTAGATTCATAATATCATAACTGTACATTCGTAATGTCATAACTGTACATTCATAATGGCCTAAACGAATAACGTCGTTAATGTCTTAACGACGAGACAAAATAAAATTTTTTTTTTTTAAAGTGGAATGGCACGTTTTTCTTAAAAACGACGTCGTTTTGACTTGTGTCCACAATGCATTGTGGACACGGGTCCATGGCATAATTTGCCACTTATTACTCAAACTAGATAACTTGATGGGTTACTAATTCTTTAACGCGCAATAACTTGTAGAGATATTCTCTTATCACTCCATTGCAATTTACATCCTAGGGGCACACGTCACGATTCCAAATGCAAATAAGAACATTCACAAAAATTTAAATATTTACAACTTTTAATTTGGCTCATAAAACATTAGCAAGTGTTGGTGTGCTTCAAGTTTATGAGAATATGATTGTGCCAAATAATGTTTCACCGGATAAGTGCAGTGGTATTTACATTTAGTTTGGGTCATCATATCAATTATTATGGGTTGATTACCTCCAACAAATTTAAATGTTTTTGGTAGGTAAACCAAATATGCTTTTAAAGAAAAATATTACTCCGTAGTACATATATTCTCAACTCTTGACACTTCGGTTCGACAAAACATTTGGGATGATATAAATTACGTTGACGACTCAATGGTTTAGCAGACATGGTCAAAAATGCCGGCGCGCAAAAGGGATTTGCCACTTTCCTCTGCCGAGGTTCAAATTTTAGTTTCTTCTCCCAACTACTGCATATTAAACCATGAGCTAAGCTCGTACTTGCCATTTCTTTTTATTCTCTATTTCCAAATATATAATGTAGACAACTTTTTTTGGGGCCCAGAAAATTAAAATGCCCTATCCAAACTTGTTACATCAAGAAATTTGGTTGAGAGAGTATAATTTGAGGGTCTGTCTAGTAGAACTCTTTTGTAAATTTAACCAATTATTCAAACATTAATTCAACTCTCAATCTACAACTACATTTTTTTTTAACTTCGTTTATCCTATGTTTCATTCATTAACATAGATGTTTAGGGAGAAATGGGAGAACTCTTTCAGTCTTTTGGGTCATTGAGTGGCAAGGTGCCACTCTTTTCTCCTTAGTTTTCATTAAAACCATGATATAATATTCTTCCAATAATCATTGTTTTTTATTAATTAATTGTAATACATAGACACGTACACATATTATGAATAGAACAAGCTTTATAACAAATGACATTTTGGTATTATTTAAAAAGGAAAAAAAAAAAAAAAGGATGATGCGCAATTAAGAAAGTTCGTATAAGACTTTAGGGGGCGTTTGGTTCAGGTTATATAACATAACCAAGGGAATGTGACATTTCAAAGCTTATATTCCTATGTTTGGTTTACATTATCTCAGGGAATCTAACATTTCCCAGGAATGTCACATTCCCTCCACATAGGATTTTGAAGGGAATGTGATTCCCTTCAATTTATAAGGTTATGTAAGATAACCTTGGTTATGTTAGTTTATTACACACACATATACATACATACATATATATATATATATATATATATATATATATATATATATATATAATTATTTTTGTAATTATATATTTTTTATTTTTATTATGTTAGGTTAGCATATAAAATAATTTTGTTTCTCAAGTTCAATATTTTAGTTAATATTTTAAAATCATGTACTTATATATGATATCGTTATCTTAATTATTTATTTTAATTTTTAAATTTATTAAAATATATGAAAATATGTTAAGGATATTATAGTGTGTGAATAAAAGATAACCCTAAACCAAACATGATTATATTACATACCCCAATTTTAACCAAACACAGGAATCTAACATTCCCAGTAATCTAACATTCCCAGCAATCTAACATTCCCTAAGGTAATCTGACATTCCGTGAACCAAACGACCCCTTAGAGTTTTGCTTTCACACACACACACACACACACAAACACACACACACACACACACACACACACACACACACACACACACACACATATATATATATATATATATATATATATATATATATATATATATATATATATATATATATATATATATATATATATATAGATTTTGGTTCTTATGAGGTCATGTCTTCTCGTGCGGTCAGTGCGGCGTACACCATTAGGTATGCATAAATGCACCATACAGTGTTCGAAAATACACCAGAATAAAATGACAAAAAATGCACCACACCAAAAAATTATACACCACACATATAGGTCCTGTTTGGTAAAAAATTGGCCTATAGACCAATTTTGGCTTATTTGACCACTATTAATTGTTTGATTTAGTTAAAATATCAATATAAATGTTTGGTTAATTAGCTTTTTATAACTCCAAAAGGCTAAAATTCAAAAGCTACTCCAAGCAACTTTTTCAATTAGCTTTTTGAGAAAAAAAAATTATACCAAACAGCTATCAGCCAACAGCTAATTTACCAAACACTTTTCTACAATCAGCTAATGTTATCAACTATTTATACCCTCTAATTAACACAATCAGCTAACAGCCATTTTACCAAACATGACATAGTGTATTTACGAACACTGTGTGGTGCATTTATGCATACCTAATGGTGTATGCCGCACTGACCGCACGGGAAGACCTGACCTCAGAGGAACATGACCATATATATATATATATATATATATATATATATATATATATATATTATGACATCCAACTTTTGCCCAAGTAAATTGACTTTTGTTTCTATGATTAAAATAAAAATTCTGAAAATAGAAAAGAGTTTGCTTAATTTACGGCTGAGGATTCACTGATTCTGACAATCTATTGGAGGCATACATTAGTCTAATTTCAAATCCAATGGGCATGTTTGTTTTTGTTTTAGAGAAAATATTTACAATCAGTACTTTAGAGTATACACCAGATAAAGTTCATTTTACTTATGTATAATAATTTGCAAACCACACAAGAGAGTTAAATTACACAAGAATAATGCTTCATTCACTTAGGCATCCTTTTTGGAGAATATTTTCATTTTTAAGAATACATTTGAGTTCAAATTATCACATTTTTTATTTTACCTTTTTAAAAATTCATGTTACTTAATACTTTTGGAGAATGGAATTTTAGAAAATGCAAGAAAAAAAAAAAAAGAAAAAGATCTCTAAGAGTTTTACATTCTAGAAAACTAATAAATGAGAACATATAACATTTAATATGATATTCCTAAGCACATAACATGAAATAAATATTTAAAAATAATATTATATTAGTTGGAATTATTTACACTTTTGGTCTGGAAATTATTTATTCATTTATTTTTGTTCGTTTAGTGCACAACTTCTCAACTTGTACTTTTTTGCTATTTCCCATTGAGTTGATTCCAGCATTGGTCCCCCGCCTATGTTGATTTTTCAAAATTGATTATCAACTTTTAATTTGGACAATTTAAACCCTCGACTTTAAAAAAATTTCCAATATTGGTCCTTCAATTCGGTTCCCTTGGTGTTAAATTGACGTTAAAAGCAGGGCTAAAAAAGTCTTTTTACCTTTAAAGATTATTATACGTTTGTTTCCTGGATTAACCAAAGCCGTTCGCCGCCG